AATTGAAAATCATTTGATACTTTATTTCATTAATTCAAGGTTTTATCACCAGTACACAAGATTAATCATACAATTATAATAAACTTTGCTAGCTTATGAGGGTTGACAAAGGGTAGAAAAAAAAGGACACACATGATTATTTTGTAGTTAGGAAACAATACATTGTGGATGAAACAGATAATGGAATCGGATATTGTAGCACTTAACATTGATCTCCAACTCTTTCAAGTAAATAAAACAACATTCAATGTGTTTTACTTGTATATTTTTCAACGATGTTTAGATGGATTAATTGAATATCAAAATCATGATGAAATAATATGTGGACTCTTCCATTGTTGAACAAAACAATTATTGAATAAGATAATTACAAACTTTGAAGGGATTTCTCGATGTTGAAGTTTTGAAAAAGGAAGAAGAAAAATAATTTCATCAACTTGAAACAATTATCCATCAACAAATACGATCTTGTTTATTATTTGCTCGAAAGATTCCATGAAGAAATGTATGCATTTAAACTTCACCATATCACAAGAGACTAAACCCTTATTCTAGACAACCTCTATTGATATTCTATGCATTTTTATAATTTAAATGAACTATTTATGGACATAAGAAAGTGTTAATAAATTAACCTTTAATGATCAAGTTATCCCATGAACCATTTAAAAATTTCCTTAATATAAAATACATAATTAATTTGCATTAAAAAATAAATTAATAATATGGATTCCATGTAACATTAATACTCTTAATAATTTTGATTAATTTTGGTTAAAAATGAGTCTAACATCCTCCTTACCTCTTAATAATATAGAAGAGGAAAAGGGATTAGAAAAATGAAATGGAGAAAAGGATAATGAGGATATGGGGTAAGAGAACTCACCTATTGAGAGAACCAAGGGAAGAGTTTTTGAAAACTCTTATTCCCCTTCATTAGTTGGTTGATCCGCACAAAGAAGAGGGTGGTGGGGACCTTATGTTGAGTTATATAGGGCCAAAGTTAGCGTTTGAGTGAGACCCACATGGTCTCACTTAGTTTTGGGTAAATTAAACTTCTTAACTACCTTTGATGTCTCTATTAGTTACTTACCTAGGTTCTATGCATATTATTATTATTATTTTAAAATCTAAACTTGTTAATTGGATAGTTTACTAATTTAGTATTATTGATTAATTTGCTTTATTAACCACTTAATGTATTATTTTCTTTATTAATTTTCATTAATGAGGAACACTAATTATTTTTCATAATTTTTTTCAATAATAATAACTACTAATAATACCAAATTTAATTCAAGTATTTCTTATTGTTTATATAAAAAATTATTTATTAAATCTCATTTCTTATTTTATATAATTAATTATGATACCTAAAATAAGTAATTATTAGAAAGTAATATTTTCTATTTTGTTTTCTAATTTTGAATTTTTAGGGTGTTACATTTAATGTTTTTTGTTGTTCTATGATGTTTTAAGTTGTTGTGTTTTGTTGTATGTTATTTTGTGAACTTTAAAGATTAATGAATCCTCATGAGTTGAGTTGTTTAACATTTTTTGAGTTAAGGTCAAAGTTAACCAAGAACAAGAAAAAAATATAAGGTTTTAGGAAAGAAAGAACTTCGTAAGTTTATTTCCTTCATTTTTAAATGAGAAGTTTTAGAGAGATAAGTTTTGGTGTCAAGGAAAATCGTTTCTTCTTTTGATTCCACTAAGAACGTCCTTATCCTTCCTTGAAGTGATGATCAAGTTGTAGAAGTTGAGATTTGAATATAGGAGCTTGGAATCCTACAACGAAGTTGACCCTTGAGGGTCTCATTGTTCTTCCTTTCTCCTTAGATTCTACTTGTTGTGGAAACTGTTGAGGTAAATGAACCTTATAGATTAACTCTTTTATATTATACATCTTGAATCCTAAGTTGATTGAGCCCATTGGTGGCAATTTGAGTTGTTTTTGGTGGTGTTTAAGTGTTGGTATGAGTTAGGGTTCTTGGAGTGTTAAACCAAAATCCAAAGATCCATGATTCTTGTTGGTTTTTGTATGCATGTGGTAATTGTAGTGGTTTTTGTGTTGTATGAGATGTTAGGAGTGGATTAAATGGTTTGAATGTAGGAGAAGGTGGATAGTAACTGGTTGAGTTTGTAGAGAGAAGGTGAATCCCATGGTAGAATTTCACAATCTTGCCCAACGAGATGACATTCTCTCCTTAGTTGCCTGTATAATTGATGATCATATGCCTAAATTCGTAATCTTGCTTAACAACATGAGTGTCGCTCAACTAGAAAATGAATCTATGGGTAACTCATAGAGTTTGCCCAACAAGTTAGAGCTCACTCGACGAAAGGATCCATAGAGAGTCTTGTTCGCTTAATGAGCTTTGGTCACCTGGTGAGAGGATCCATTTTGATGTTGTGTTGTTTCTTGTGTTGCTGTGTTGTTTACTATGGTGTTGAGTCATCTATCTATGTTGATAAGTTATTAAAATTGCAAGTTGTCTATTCTGAGTTGATGTGTTGTTTTTTTATGAAGTTTATATCATGAGAGTTGATTATGGTGATATAAATAGTTATTGCTTTTTACTATATATTATGTTTTATTGTTACACAAGCTTACCTTTACTTTTTCCATGTGTTAAACTGTGATGATTATACTTTGTATGAGAGCATGTAAAAATTAGGTAGGGGGCAATCTTGCAAATGATGGTGTTTTGTGGTGAAACTATTTTGATAATTTGTGTTTTGAGTGTTCGATTGACACCTAAGGTTAGTTTTTAGTTTCTTTTGTTGTAAATATTTAGCACTTGGTATATAAATATTCAAAATAATTATAATTTCTTAAGAGGCTTTATGTTTTTAGTTTATTGACACATTTTATTTTATGTTTTCTTGTATTGAAACAAACATACATATAAATATTGCATGAATATCCAAGAACTATTTGTATGTTAATTTTAGATTAATTGATTGTTACTTAGTAACTAAATTATAGCAAGCATAATGATTTGTTGAATCATTAATCATTTATAACATGACACTATTAATTACATGAGAGATAAAGTTCACCACCAAATATTTTAATAATCTCATACCATTATTAACCAAGTATTAATAATTAATTATTACATAATTAGGCTTATATACTTTCATTTATAAAAATAATATTAACTACATTTATACACGTAGCTAATTACATATATTCAAAAAACCTCAAGTATGTTTTCGGCGGTAGATACTCTAAGACCAAAAAAAAAAAAAAAAAATAGAACCCCAAGTGTAAAATCCTAACTCAACAATTGTCGGTATTCTTTTTTATTTTCACCGCAAATCCAAATAAGGTGCAAGTGCAACACTTTTTATTTGTTTTGATGAATCGTTACTCAACCTATACATTTGAACATTTGTCAAAGTGAATTAACTAGTATTTATTTATCCGACATAAGTAAACTCGAAAATTGTGATTAAACAAGACCTTACTATTAATTCAAGAGACTGATTAAATGAAACAAAATTTAAAAAATCGTAATTTTTAATAAATTTTAGTCAATAATAAGTAAAATATTAAAATATCATTATACTTCTCTTTATTTTTTTTTAACAAATTATAATTAAACTTTTACATAATCGAAGTGATCCCTGTTTATTTACCCGATGCAAGCAAAATCGTACCATTAAAAAGAAATGTATGTAGAGAGTCGAAGCAAAGACACGTCAACGCGTTTATTATTGAATATTTTCAACCATTTATTTGCATGATGGACGCTGGCCACTTTATAGGTACGGCATATGCCTAAAGACATGTTCACGATAAATTGATAATCGCTGGCCAAACCAAACCAAAATGAATATTACGTTACAGAAAAAAGCGATTCAAAGAACCAAACTAACCCGTGAACAATTATCGAGTGTGGTCGTCGTATACAACGTACTCATTAATGTGAATTTTTTTTATCCATCTAAGTGTTTTTATAAATATTTATAAATAAATGAGTCTCAATCCGATGAGAATATGAAATTTAACTCATCTAAATTTTTATATAAAGGAAAAAAATTATTTAATCTAAAAAATATGTCTTAATAAATTTATTTCACTTAATGATTTTGTTTTATATCAAGTTTTATTGATATAATTATTAAATTAAAAATTTTTAAGACATAATTTAAATTGATAAATTTTTTAAATATTTAAAAATTATTTGATGTTTATTTTTTAATTTAATAAATAAATGATTATAAAAATATTTTATATATCTATTTAACTTAATAAAATAAAATATTAAATAATTTTTAAACTTTTTAAAAATTATGTAAATTTAATTTATATATTAAAATTTTTTATGATGTGTTTAAGGTAGGTGATTTAGTAAGGAATGAAGAAGAATTAGAAAGATTATAAAAAATTTAAAGAATGTATGTTTGGAGAAGATAATATACATAAATTTATAAGAAAATTATAATGAAATCTATATAAATTTAATTTCACTGTCATAAAGATGAATTTCTGTGAAATTTTTCATCAAAAGATATACGGACAAGACTAAAAAATAAAAATATAGTTATATTAATTTACATTTTAAAATACTACTTTATTAAATAATTATAAATTTTACATTATTTTTTTAAAAAGTATTTTGTATGGAATCAGTTCTAAGATATTTTATTTTTAATAATTATATATATATATAAAAAAAGTGAGATGGGTTTGTATTAATTTAGTGTAATGCATTATGGAGTATGATGGGAATGGGATAGCGATACGATACGGCAAAGAGAAGGAGCAGTGGAATTCCCATGACATCCCTACATCATAAAAGTGGTGGTACTGTTACGTTACCAGAAAAGTAAAATAATAATAATAATAATAATAATAAAACGAAAGCACTCGTACGGAAGGCCGAGTGGGGTCTCCCCAACGAAACCTCTTGGATTCTTCTATAGTCCTTTCCCACCCCTCAATCTCACTTTATTTACCAACTCTGCCACTCCCCCACCAACAAAGACTCAACTAAATCCCTATTCCCTATTCCCAATTCCCTAACCCTCTCAGATCTCATGGCTTTTCCTTTTCCTCCCTTTCATTAACCATTAACCCATCCCCTTTCAGGAATCAGGATTTAACCCTTTTTCCTTTTTTATTTCTTTAATTTTCCAAATGGAAAAGGTGGCTCCGCCTCCGATTCTCATGCAGAGGAAGCGCGATCTCTCCTACGCCGTCGTTCCGGGGAACCCCACCGACAACTGGAAGTGGGACTGGGACACCGTGCGTTTCGCGGGAAAGCCCCCGCCCAGCGACGCCGTTTTGGAGGAGGAGAGCGCGCCGCCGCCTCTGCAGCTGAATCTGGGGAGGGCGAGCGGCGGGAACAAGAGGCTGCGCTCGGGGTCGCCCGGAACGGCGTCGTATCCGATGTGCCAGGTCGACAACTGCAGGGAGGATCTCTCCAAGGCCAAGGACTATCACCGGAGACACAAGGTCTGCGAGGCTCACAGCAAAGCCTCCAAGGCGCTTCTCGCCAACCAAATGCAACGCTTCTGCCAGCAGTGCAGCAGGTTCCACCCCCTCTCCGAGTTCGACGAGGGCAAGCGCAGCTGTCGCCGGAGACTCGCCGGACACAACCGTCGCCGCAGGAAGACGCAGCCCGAGGATGTTACCTCCGCCACTCCCGCGCCCGCCGCTGCCAATTTCGAAATCTTCAACCTGTTGACTGCCATAGCTGGAGCGTCGCAGGGTAACACTCCCTCATTTTTTCCTTTTTTTTATTTAAAAAATTTAAATAAGTTAACTCTAGTTCAATTCAATTCAATAATAATAATAATAATAATAATACTTATTAAAGGCTATTTATTTCAATTTATCAAGAAGGTCTAAGAAATAATTAGGATAGCTTGCGTTTTAGATCTTCGTTTTTGGTCAATATTCGCCATCTACTTTAAAATGGAAGATTTTCGTCATTTCTATTTTGATGACTGGTGAATTTTTTTCCTCGCGCTAAGTTCTATAAAGAGGGTCGAAGTTCATTGATTATGAAAATATTAGGACCGAAATCTTCGGTTTTTGAGTATATGGACTAAAGATAATTTTTTACCAAAAATTGGGGATCTAGACACAGTCTACCCAAATAAATAATTATATTTTCGGAATAAAAGCTGATTAATCTAAAAGACACTAAATAATAGTTTCGTATTGTTTTGTAGAGTTAGCTATGAAAGAAAAAAAAAAGTCGTTTTTTTAAAGCTCAGCTCTGGTAGTTAAGAAAAAGAAAAGTTTTTATGTTTTAGAATAAACTGATGAGGAAGTTATTCTAAAAATTATTTTTAATTTTTTTGAGAGAACATATGTAAAGAAGTTAATGTCGATAATTTGTAGATAACAATGGTTTCTTTATCATGGAAATAAGCCAAAAAACAGCATACTCTTGTTAATTATGGTTTTTCGTTTCTAGTGTTAAAAACAAGAAGCATGCAGTAAGTAAGTTTGTCTGTGTTGTGATGATTATTGTGAATTTGTCTTGTGTAGGAAAGTTTGAGGAAACAAGGTCACAAGTTCCTGATAGAGAGCAGCTTGTTCAGATTCTCAATAGGATACCTTTGCCGGCTGATCTTGCAACCAAGTTGCTGGATGCTGGTAATGTCAATGGGAAAAAGGATCATGTGCAATTGCAAACACCATCATCCTATACTCGTCATGACCAACTGAATCACATGCCTTCTGCTCCATTAACTATGGACTTGCTTGCTGTTCTTTCCACCACTCTGTCTGGGTCAGGCCCTGATGCTACCACGTCGCCCTCTCAAAATCGCAGCTGCACCAGTGATGGTGGCAGTGACAAGTCTCGGACTAGTGCTGACCAGACAAGACAACAGCAGTTCTTTTCAGTTGGTGGAGAAAGAAGCAGTAGTAGTTCCCAGTCTCCAGTTGAAGATTCAGACTGCCAGGAGGATGTTCGAGTTAATTTACCGCTGCAACTCTTTAGCTCCTCTCCGGAAGATGACAGCCTGCCTAAACTAGCATCTTCAAGAAAGTATTTCTCATCTGACAGTAGTAACCCTGCTGAAGAGAGGTCTCCATCGTCCTCTCCTGTTGGGGAGATGCAGTTTGATTTGCAGGGTGGGGCTATGAGTCTCAAGCCAGAGAGCATCTCATCTGGAAGAGGAGTTAATGCAAATAAGGAAATTAGCCAAAGTCATAGTTATAATATCTCTCTTGATCTCTTTAAAGGGTCAAATAACAGGATCCAACAACCTAGTTCACTTCATAGTGTTCCTTTTCAAGCTGGGTATACATCTTCAGGCTCCGATCATTCACCTCCCAGTTTGAATTCAGATGCTCAGGTAGTTAGTTTGCAATTTTACAGTTCTGTGTTCATTTTTACTTAATTGTACTTCGCTTTATCTGTGTATTATATTTAAGCTAGTTTAGGAAATTCATCTAATGTGATTGGATCCATTTTGTGGTTTTCCAACAGGATCGTACTGGGAGAATAATGTTTAAACTATTTGACAAGCATCCCAGTCATTTCCCAGGAACATTGCGAACACAGGTGTTTGTATCTTCCTTTAAAATTTGTTTTTGTAATGTTATTTTTATTGAATGTGACAAAATGTCCTGTCAAATGTGAATATGCGATGATGTTAACAAATCTTTTTTCCTTTTTATTTTTTCTAGATTTACAATTGGCTTTCTAATAGGCCATCGGACATGGAGAGCTACATAAGGCCTGGTTGCGTGGTCCTATCAATTTATGCTTCAATGTCTTCTGCTGCATGGGAGAAAGTAAGCAAACTGCTGTGATACACGTTTGCAGCTTTTATGATTATATCATGCTGATTACTTGCGTATTGTGTTTTTTGCAGCTTGAAGAAAACTTCCTTCAACACGTTCATTCATTAATTCAAAATCCAGATTCCGATTTATGGAGAAATGGAAGGTTTCTAGTTCATTCTGGCAGTCAGATGGCTTCACACAAAGATGGTGAGTACCATAACAAGTACTGATCGGTGACTTTGGTCACTATTCCTTTTTATTTCAGATTACATATTTTTATGTTCAAAGCTTCGATCTTTGGACTATTTCTCTTCAAAAAAATTGGACCACTGATTACTCATTTCTAATTAAACTTGAGAAGATTGAGTGCACCCTTTTAGATGGAATTTTCATATCAAGGAATTCAATTAAATTCATTTGAACTGATATTCCAGGGAAGATACGCATATGCAAATCATGGAGAACATGGAAATCACCCGAGTTGATATCTGTGTCCCCTTTGGCAATTGTTAGTGGACAAGAAACCTCTATTTCATTGAAGGGTAGAAACCTGTCAACTCCTGGCACAAAGTCAGTATCAATTTTCCCCTTTTTGAATGCTGTGATATACTGCTTTCTGGTCTATTTTCCTAATATTTCTCCCTAATTTTTGCAGGATTCATTGCACAGGTACTGCCTCATACACATCGGCAGAAGTCATGGAATCTGCATATCCTGGTGTGATGTATGATAAGATAAAGTTGGGTGGTTTTAAAGTCCAGGATGTATCTCCTGGTGTTCTGGGTCGCTGTTTTATTGAGGTAGATTTTAACATTCTATTATCTTGTATTTTATTACCATAGTGAACTTTGTGTGCTTGCAGACACATGCGTGCAATTTTGATCTGTGAATGTGACAAACGTTAATAAGAAGTGTGGCTTATATTTATGATCAGGTTGAAAATGGTTTCAAGGGTAATAGTTTTCCAGTGATAATTGCTGATGAGACCATTTGCAAGGAGTTGAAACTACTCGAGTCCGAATTTGATGAGGAGGAAAAAATATGTGATGCCATTTCAGAGGAGCATGAACATCAATTTGGAAGGCCCAGGTCAAGGGAGGAGGCTTTGCACTTTTTGAATGAGCTTGGCTGGCTGTTCCAAAGAGAAAGGTTCTCATATGTGCATGAGGTTCCATATTATTCTCTTGACAGGTTCAAATTTGTACTCACATTTTCTGTGGAAAGAAACTGTTGCATGTTAGTCAAAAACCTTCTGGATGTGCTGGTTGATAAACACTTGCAAGGGGACTGGTTATCAACAGGATCTGTGGAGATGCTGAATGCAATCCAACTATTAAATAGAGCAGTGAAGGGAAAGTACAAAGGCATGGTTGATTTGCTCATTCACTATTCTATACCGAGCAAAAATGGTACATCCAAGAAATATGTATTTCCACCGAATCTTGAGGGTCCTGGTGGTATTACACCCTTGCACTTGGCAGCATGCACATCAGGTTCTGAGAGAATAGTTGACTCTTTAACAAGTGACCCACAGGAGGTAAATTTTATAGAGAACATATGTCATTTACATTTTTCCAAGTAACAGAAGGATTTTTTCTTGAGTTACATAGATATAGCTTCCTATGGTAGTTGTTGTGGGTAAATATTACTTGTTCTTTTCCTGGATGGCAGTGTTACTGGGGATTTTCTATATTGAACCTCAATTAAATGCATATTTTTCTTCTTGTGGGATGTTCTCTCCTAGCCAAGTGTTTGTTGTTTTCTTTTTAGGAAAGGGGGTGGGCCTAGATGGCGGATTGGAAACTAAAAAATAGTAGGATTATAATGTTGTTTGCACTTTATCATACTTATTACCCTCTACTGTATGATTATATTTCTCTACATTTTTATTCCTTGAATTGTATTGGGTTCTTAACTCGTTTTTTTTGCTGCTATAGATTGGGTTGAAGTGCTGGGAGTCCCTTGTGGATACAAATGGTCAGACTCCGCACGCATACGCCATGATGAGGAATAATGACTCTTATAATGTGCAGGTTGCCCGTAAAGTTGCTGAAAGACGAAGGGGTGAAATTTCGGTAACAATTGAGAATGAGATAGAGCAATCGTCACTGAGAGTGGAGCTTAAGAAAAAGCAAAGTAACCTAATCAAACGAGGTCAAAGTTCTTGTGCCAGGTGTGCTGTTGCTGAAATTCACTACAACAGAAGAGTTCCTGGTTCACAGGGTTTGCTTCACCGCCCCTTTATTTATTCAATGCTAGCTGTTGCAGCTGTTTGTGTATGTGTTTGTCTGTTCTTCCGAGGACGCCCTTTTGTGGGCTCAGTTGCTCCCTTCAGTTGGGAAAATCTGGATTATGGCACAATGTAATGCTACTGGTTAAGGAAATTTGGATATGGGGAATGAAACGCATAAACCAAGTGGGAAACCCAATTGTTGCTTTTTCCCCTTTGGCAAAACTGCTTCTGTGGGAAAATGGGGCATTTTGTGATAAGAGCCCAATGTAAACATATCGTGTGGTGATGTAGAGATGTGGAGTGGAGATGTTTGGCAGATCCGGCAGAAACAAGAAAGTAGGGCTGCCATGTGTATAGATTCTGACTTGAATGCTACATATTTACTTTACTGCGAGTTTTAAGGATATGACAAGCTATACGTGAATGTTTGTTGATTGGTGTTGGAAGTTCAAGAGTTAAGAAATCTTCAACTCTTTTGGCCGGACAAACTTGACCTCTCAATTTAAGTTGGAATGAAATGGTGACTTATGGCCACAAGCTCAAACAATTACGAAAGTAGTAAGCATTCAGAATAAAGAGAGCTGTGGTGAGGGTTATTGTTGGTGAGGTCTATGCTTCCTTCCCAATGGTAAACCAGGATAAGTTCCATGCTTTATTTTTCCATTTAATTCTGTTATTTTAAGTTAAAATTACAATTCCAGGTATTCCGATGCATAAGTTTCGGTACTGTAAAGTTTGATTTGAGGCTACTGATCATAGGTCTGACCATATTATATGATTAAAAAGTGTAATATATTTTATATCTAATTTAATCCGCGTTTCAGATTCATTTTCTGTTTGTTCTGAGATTCAGATTGTGCCCTTATGCTGATGTATCCTCTTCAGGCTGCTACATCCTTCCCAATACTTGTGATGATGAGAAATGTTGTTGCTTAACTAGTCAAAAGTTAAAAAGTGTTTTTACTTGTGACTCTTGGCTGAATGAGATTAAATTAACTGGCGTACCTGATGGATGGATATATGTGTGACAGATCATGAGATTCCCCATTAGATTTCAGAAACTTTTAGAAGCATGATTGTTGTCACGTTCATATCCGAAAGAGTGAGATTGAAGTTCTAACGTGTTTTGGAAAATGGGAAATACGTAAAACTAGCAGCTATTGAGGTCTTGGATGGACATGATCCACGTGATGGGTTTAGAATGCTTTCTCCTCATTACGCACCATACCTTTCGGAGTGTCTTTATTTGACCTGTTTTTTAGACAAGCATGTCACATGGTATGAGATTAAGGGCAGATTGCCAGATTGGTTTATATTAAAAATTTGTATTATCTTGTTTTTCTTTTATTTTTTTTTTAAATTTTTCATATTTATTAGAAATAAAAAAAAGGATGCAGGAGTGGGGGCGGGGTGGGGAAATTTAAATCTCGTCGAGAATGGGGATGAGTATCTAAATTTTATCTCCAATTAGTATCGGGAGTAAGGGCAGGATGGTTTAAATTTGCGAGAGTGAGAACACGGAATATAAAACCTGCCCTTGTCTAGTCTTGTTTTCTTGCTTACTAGTAACTCATGTTGTATAACAAAATTTAACAATTAAATTATTAAATTAAAAGTTTTTAATGTATAGATCAAGTTTATAAAATTTTAAAAATATTAAAAAAAATTATTTGATATTTTATTTTATTAATTTAAAATAATACATAATCATAAAACTATTTTATACGTTGATTTAAATTAATGAAATAAATTATTAAATAATTTTTAAATTTTTTAAAACTTTACAAATTTGATTCATGTATTAAATATTTTTAATTTAACAGTTAGATTGTTAAAATTTGAGGTAGAATATGAGTTATTGAGTAAAGTAAGTGAATTTCTTCTCATACATATACATATACATACACATATATATATATATGAGTAATGTTATATATACAAATAAAAATTATATAACAATTTTTATATTATTTTTGTATTTGTGGAGACATACTATTAATGATGTAGAAGGATAATTATAAAAGTAATGAGTCAAAGTTGTACAATTTTTGTTGGACATATAATATTACTTTACAAAAATATATCGAGCTAAATAGACCCATAGGTTTCAAAACGAGAAAATTAGTGATGTGACCTAATTTGATTGAGTTGTTGTATTTGACTAACTTGACTCAATTTCACTTCTTAACAATTTTTTGTTATCAATTATTACATCATCAATCAATATATCTAAATGGACCATTTTTCACATCTCTAGTATCTATCCTTTTATAAAAATAATTTAGTTATGATTTTATTGTCTAGTTTAGTTTAATTTTTCAATAGTCCAATTCAATTATTTTACAAAAATGATTTAGTTCAATTTTTAGGAGAATAATTTAGTGCACTTTATCACCAATTCAATTTTTTCTCCAATTTTTAACAATCACAAATCATTTAATATAAGTTGTTGACAGGTAACTTTTAATATATTACTTTTGATATTATTTTAATATTACTTTTGATGTTGTCATGTGGAAAGTAATATATAAAAAAACTACTATAAGTATCAAATTAAATTATAATATTCTAAAAAATATATTATTAAAAATAAATCAATAAAATTCGAAATAAGAATAATATTTAGCAATAAAAATCATTATTCATAGTATATTAAAAATTTAAAATAAAAATCATTTTTAAGGTGGGCCGGCCTATTAATAAAAACCACTAGGTTAACTCTAAACCCACTTACTATAAAACTTAAAGTTTTTTGGCCCGGCCCGACCCATTTTCAAGATGGGCCGAGTTAGCCCATAGGTCCCGGCCTACTTTGACGGTTAATCTAGTAGTTGAGTGAGGAAGAATTGAGGTAGTTACTAGTTAAAAACATGAGAACCTAGATTCAATCCTCATTATAATCATCTTTATAATTTTTCTATCTTAAAAAAAAAAAAAACTTCTAATATAATTGACGCAGGTGAAATTGAATAGTTGTTTAGTTGTGTTTTGGCGGCGAAAACGGCAGAAAAGAATGAAAGGGTGGAGTGGGTAGAGTGGAGATTCACATGATCAGATCATTGGGTGATAGAAAGGTATGGAGGGTAATAGCAGGCGCAGCACATGGGAACAAGGGCACGCCATGCTTCTATTCTACACATTCGTGGGATTCGAATTCCTACGCTGCCATGCTCCAACAAGCTATTCAAAAGCGCGACCCAAACACAGGGAAGAGCCTCCACTGCCACATTCTCAAGCGTGGCGCTTCTCTCGACTTGTTCGCCCAAAACGTCCTTCTCAACACTTACGTCCGTTTCGACTCCTTCTACGACGCTTCCAAACTGTTCGACGAAATGCCCCTCACTGACACCGTCTCTTTCGTCACCCTGGCCCAGGCTTTCTCCCATTCCCACCAATTCGATCGCGCCCTTCACTTGCTTCTCAGGTCCGCATTCCACTTTCTCTTAATTTAGCCAGTTAGTTACCGCCTTATTACGAGAAATTTTATAAATTTAAAGGAATTTGAATTTTTTTAAGTATTTAAATTTCTTTTATTTTAATTTTTATTATTCTTAAAATATTTTGTTTGGATAAGTTAATTTTAATTTTTTAAATTTTAAATTCTTAATTTGGATATGTTAATTTATTTGAATGGTTAGTGGTTAATTTCTAATATTATTTTTTATTAGTGTTATTTTGGTAAAAAGAAAAGAAATAGGTGAGAAATAGAATGGAAAGAAATGAAAAGTGAGTAAAAATAAATAAGAAATATTGTAAAGATTTGATTATTTGGTTAAAAAGAAATATGTGAGAAATAAGTGAAAAATATGTGAGAAATAAAATATATATAACAAGGATAAGAGAGAAATAAATAAATAAAAATAAATAAGAGGGTTGAGTCCACCACCTTTTAATTTCTCATCTTCTTATTTCTCTTTAACTCAACAACTTCACTTATTTCCACTCTTTTATTTCCATTCTTTCCATCCTATTTCTACCCATTTCTCCTTAACCAAACAAGGCATTAAAGACTTAGGAAAAAATTGTCTAGAAAAATATGGAAATAAAAAAATGGTTATAAATTCATGTATTCCCTTTATATATAGGTATATATTCAATTTGGTTTTTTATATTCAATTTGGTCTTTTAATTAAAAAAAAAAATTCTCTCACAAGAATAAAAAATGAAATAAGTTCCATAACTTATATAAGCTCTCTTGTTAACTTTTCCAAAAACTTATATTTAAGTTGTGGATAAGCTAGTTTCATTTTATGAAAATGTTTATTTTATTTTTTTCTACTTAAAATGCTTAAAGAGAAGTTTATTAAAACAAACTCTTAATTAGTTATTAGATAGGTTTTGTTTGGATAAATTTTTTCATATTTACTTATAAGAGATAACAGTAAATGCACCGAGAAAATACTTTAAGATACCAAGATCTTTTATGCCAAAAGCTGCATGTAGACTCCCTTGTTGCAGGGATATAACCTTCTTTCATGTTTAACCCATGCAGTCTAATATTTAAAAACAATGAATCTAAGACATTTCTATCTAAAAGACTCACAGTTTTATTTGGGAAACAATTGAAGTAAACAGGACCATGTCCTAAACTTGTTTCAACGGTTCCTATAAGGGAGTCGTGGAAGTCATTGTGCCTAGTATCTCTAAGACACATAAGGATTGAGACATTAAGACCTTCCATGATTAGGGGCTTAACAACAACTTGGACACACCTTATATGAAGGTACTTGTACTTCCTAGAATGTTCTGTAACAGATTGTTTAGTAAGAAGATGAAATTCTTCACCAGCTTGGGGGTCCAAAGGTATGTTGTTTTCAGCAGTCTTGATAATGTAATCAGAACTGCGAACATGTTTTTCGTCAGGAATATATAACTCATCCTGGGGTATTTTGGGAATTTCCCAATTATCAATTGCTTGGTTGATATCTTCAAAGCAGACTTCTTCTTCGAAGATATTGTTTTTAGGAGGAATTTCCTCCATGGTTTGATTTTGCTCAGTGAGCAAATTTTTTGAAGGTGAAGAGGAGGAAAAGGATGCTTTGACAGTGAGACGACGAGAAAGGGAGCGAAGAAAATTCCTCATGGTGTTTTAGTATCCAGTATCATTACCCTCATTTGGTTCCATAAGATACCATAAATTAATATTAAATTAATTTCTGTCCAATGAATCTGTTTTTATAAAACTCTTTTTTTTCATAAATTAATTACAAAAAGGAATCCTTATAATAAATATTATCCTATTTCCCCATCATATATATATATATATATATATATATATATATATATATATATTTATTTATTTTCT